ATGTCATAACACTCACCTGCTTCTCATCAAAGTATCCGTTCATCAATTTTGATTTGTGACAGGGAGCATTATCCTGCATAAAAATGAGCTTGGTGGGGTCGATTTGCACCCTTTCTGCAGAATGGAGCAAACAAGACTCGAAAATTCTCTTGTACTGCTCGCTCCTGAGGGTCTTTTCAATAGGTTTTAAGAAACCAGTTCCATGAAAATAAAAGCATCCCCAGAACATTATACTGAATGGATGCTTGACAGTATTTACTGCTAAAATCAAAGAGCTTTCAAAGCTTCTTCTTTAGATTTTAGATTGCTTATCCTTTGAATTTAGCTCAACTTTCGTTTCATCGGAGAAGAGAACATTTAGTAAAAAAAAAAAAATCAGGTGGGTCACTTTTATCGAACAGAACTGTACATCCGGCAAAAGAGCTCTCTTATCGGGAGGTTTTGAAGAGGGTAGAACCATCTCTTAATCGTTGTTGTTCTCAGGTCCACCCTGAACCAAAGTGGTAGCACCTGTTAGGGTCTCAGCTATGGGAAAATGAGGGACCCACAAACTGGAGTCAAAATACTAGATTTTTCAAAATAAATAAAAGAATGAATTATCAGCAATCGATGTTTTGTGAAAGGAAAGAATTACTCCCCAGAAAATTAATTTTCGCCATTAAATGACCCATAAGGTGTTGATATGTTGTTAAACAAAGTTTCAGCACCCCCTCGTCGCTGAAATGAGAAGCGATATAAATTGCTACTTTATTTTTGTATCAGATTAGCTCCCAGGCCATTATCAAATTCTCTAGTATGTTACGACCTTGCAAGATTTCATTCTTGCTTCGTAATGGCGTTAAGTGCTAGAATCTTTGGCGAGAGAAGCACCGCCTCGTCGTTGAATACGGGCTTCGCATTTAATCGGGTAAAGCAAGAGAGGATATTTAATGATTAATGGATGCTAAGAGACTTTGAACCGTCAGAGATGTCTTTCGACCGACAAATGCTGAGAATACCTTGGACAGAGCATGTGAGAAATGATGAAGTTTTAAGGGGAATAGGAACTAGAAGCAAACTACTGCGGTAATAAAAAGACAACAGCCAAAATCGGAAGGTGCATAGATATAGCGAAGATGCCTTTCATAATCCAAGCAAAGTATTAAGAGATAGAAAAAATATATTTTGAAATACAGAATAGAGTGCTGACCAGACTTGCAATATCTAATCTCCTATATAGCAGTAAATGCTGGACAATCTTCTCATGCCATTCTTAAACTAAGCAAAATATTAAGAGATAAGAAAATATATTTTTAGACAAAGAAAAGATTGATGATCTGCTAAATAATATCTAATCTCTTATAATGCAGTGAATTTTGGCCAATCTCCTCATGTCTTTCTTAAACTAAGCAAAGTATTAAAAGTAGGTACTTCCACTAATTTTCGATACCTTGATTTTAAATGTATTTTTCATAAATGACAAAGCACCCTTGAAGTTTTCACTTTAGCTTAAATTGAAAGCTAAAGGATTAAATTTACCATTTCCAGTAAGAAAAATATTTTGGTATATTTCAAATAGAAATTATATTGATTAGAATCGATTTTTGGAGTTTTTTTTTTCCTAAAATAACTAATCAGCGCCTCTTTTACTCGTCTTTCATCGCAGTGTAATTCTCTGTATTAAAAAAAAGCTTTCAAAAATAAAATATACTTTTCTGAAACTATATTTGAGGAATATTAATTGATTGACAGTATAATTAATCTGTTTTGAAAAAAATATTATTTACTTTAAAATAACAGAGAACTAGATTTTTAAAACAAACAGTATCGATGAATACTTCATCGCTCGTTAATCACGTAACAACTGCTGATAAAGTGTTTAAATATTTATTGTTGTTCTACGGAGATTTTATCTGTTAAAACGTAATTTAAGAAAATGACGGACAAAACTCTTTTTTATAAAATTTTTAAGTACTCAGTAATCTTAAAAATGTTGGAAAATATCCTCCGTAATCTAATTTTAGGAATGTTGACGTTAAATTTACTACAGCCATCGTTCTTATTTTCTGATAATGTCGTGTATGGCCGACCATACTTTCAAAAAGTGGTACGTTATATAATGTATTATATACATAAAAAAAATTTAGAATATTTTAAAAATCTTGGTGCAAACAAAATGATTTGTATTAAGCTTTTCAATTTTTGATTAGTAAATATAGTTTTCACTTAACGGATGTAAGTAATGCAGAATTTTAAAAGATCTATTATTAAAAACAATTTTTAAAAAAAGAAAACAGTTCTTGTAAAACTTCTTTATTTGTCGACATTTTTTTCTTAAGATAATAGTATCTTTAAAAAATCTTATTTATAAAACAATTAAAAGCTTTTCTAATTAAATAATGTCATAGGTTTTTTGCATTTTTATTTTACGATTCGGGACAGATTTTCTTGAAATTAGTAGTTTGAAAAAAAAATATTTTCCAAGGAGTGATGCTTTTAACTAATAAAAGAGTTTTCGGATTAAAATTTAATTTCTCGAAATTTCATGAAATTAAGGAAGTAGGGGTAACACATGTAAAAATATTTTTACCAAAATTTTCAAAAAAAAAAAAACTTTCAACAATAATTTAATTCATTTGTGAATAAATCCTAAAAGTTTCATTAAAATCCGACAATTATTTGATTTTTTGCAAGAATTTCCTAATCAATTTGTTTTTTACCTGAAATGGCGGCCTTTAGTTTCCAGACATTTATTAGTAAGGCAATGGTTGGCCAAATTGCCCAGTGGGATTGCTGCACATGCATTTCCAATTTCTTGTCCTGTCTGTAATGCTATGTGTCGAAAAAAATATCGTACTCCAGTAAACAGTGTTATCGCATTTACCGAACGGAAACTTTCAGAAGCAGTAATTTGAGATTTACTAAACCGGAAGTCCTCTGTAGCTAAATGACAGTTTCCAAATGGCATACATGTTCGATTCCCCTCGAAGAACGCATATTTTTTGCAAAATTTCTCGAATATTCAGGCCAGTAAATGTAATTAATACTTTTTGAGATTAAAAACAGTATTGACGTAAATAAGTTGTATTCATTAAAATATGAATAAATAGAAATTATATATGTAATTAGAAAATATATCAAAAATGTTTGTAGGATTTAATCCATTACATAATATTTTATATAAAAGTCGCTAAAACACTAATCATAAATTTAACGTCGACCGCTAACAAGATTTTAACCAAAATTTAGAACGTGCAAGAAATGATTCAAAATATATTCAAAAATATTTTGGTCTTTCCTCTTAATAATATCAAACATTTTGACGATAAAACTTTGTTTTTATTAAGTTTGCGGCCTTTTTACACTATGCTATGCCTTTTTTTTTCAGCGAAAACGTGGAGGTACCTAATTAAGGGATATGTCTTCATAAGCAAAGAAAAGAGCGCTGAATAGTTATGGTTGATTTTTCTAAAGCTTATAAATCTTTTACACATTATTTAAAGCCAGAAAATATTTTTAAATAGTAAAAATTTGTTGGAGATAGATAATGGTTTTGTTATGGTCCGGTTCCTTGAACAATGGTGATAGTCCAAGGTAGAACCAATAAAGAACTTGAACACGTATATGGAATAACACAGATATATTACAAACAGGAATATATACAGAGAAGTAGAAAGTGTTTGTACGAACAATCAGGTTTAGTAGGGAGAACAATGTAGTCTCGACCAGTATCACTATTCCAATGTCTTGTAGTAATTGTCTGAACGCGACTCTGTTTCGGACTGCCTCTGACTCGACTGACTGACTGACTCGCTCGCTCTGACTGACTGACTGACTGACTGACAGACTCCTGACGGACCTCACTCCAGACTTCAGACTGAACGATATTCAGTCACCCTCCCACGAGGGCGTCATGTGGCACAAGGCCTTTTTAACGTGGGATTTCCGAGCCCGTGGACTCGGCCAAAAATATGCCCATTGAACCCATATAAACGGGTTCAGGGTCGGTTTACCTCCCCGAAAGAGAATCCGCCCTTCGGCGTAGCATCGTTCGGGTTCCTCCCCGCCCGAAGGCAGAGAGTTCAACCGATCAGCCCTTCAGCCGGTCGCCCGACTTCGGACTGAACTCCCTGCTTCCTCTTGAGGCGCAGTATTTATTACGCATGGAATAGTCCATTATGTTATTATGGGTAAGGTCCCATAACAGGTTTACTAATACATGTCCTGCTAATGAACCCATAGCTGGGTGGAGTAGAAAAGTTAGATTCATACCTTTCCAAACTTCGAGAATTGTAAGAGAACTGGTTTTTTCATGTAAAATGTTATGTGATATCTAATCTCCTATGCGACAGTAAATGTTGGACAATTTTCTTACAGATGAGGGAGGGACTTGAAGCGATAGAGATTTCGTTTCTACTGGTGAAACTATGGCAAAATCAAGTACAGAGCATGTGAAATACGGGGGAGTTTCTAGGGAAATCGGAACTGAGAGTAAACTGCCCCTAACAATCAGCAAAATGCAACTGAAATGTAGGGGTCACATAATGAGAAAAGAGTTCCTTGAAAAGTTAAAACTCACCAGAAATACTGAATGCAAGAAAAGTTGTAGCCTTCTATTGTGACGCTCGCCCCTTGTACACAAGATGGACTCGTCCAAAGTATACTCATACTACGGAGAGATAGCGTGAGAAAAACGTCGAGACAGGGTGTTCACCCAGAGTTATACGAGAGTCCAGAAAGAGAGATAATTATGGCTTCACTTACAGAGACTTGTACATATACTTTTCTACTAACCCGCATTCCTGGACTACTAATCTTCATTTCAAGTTTGTATTCTTACGTTTAATACACATATTTTCTATTTCAATTACTGGCGTTGTTTATTTGTTTGTGCAGGATTCCATCCTCGGAATCCACAACACCTTCTTTAATTTGAGCAAATGTATGGTTGAACAAGGGGAAAGAGGAGATACTTACATCAATAAAAGACGGAAAGTTGTGGAGAGCCATGATTGCCCTCATTATGAAAGTATATTAAACACAGAGAGAGAGAGAGAGAGAGAAAGAGAGAGATTATTTATAAATAAACGCGAATGAAATAGAAAAGGAGAAAGAATTAAAGAGAGAGAGAGAGCCTATGTGTGAGGCTTGTTTTAAGGTCACAGACAACAACCTAGATCAGAGAGAAGCGAAGCATTGACCCATTCACGCGTGAATACTCCGTCATCACTACCCAAAAAACATCTACATATTTAATCAACTATATTCTTCTCTCCCCAAAACGTAGTTTCTCTATTTTTTTCTAAAAACAAATTCCTAATATGTTAAACAGAATGAAAGCTTTGTACTTAATTCAGGGCTGACTATTAATCACACCGAACAAATTGGGATCTGAAGTTTACAGCGTATAACACTGTAAATTCAGATCAAAATTCAAATAATAATGACAACTGACCCCCTCCCCCCTCATATTTCCTATTTCAACCAATGATCTTCTGCCATGTTTAAGGAACCTTTATTAATTTGTTCACCCAAAACATATTATCTTCCCCAGCAAAAACTGTTTTCGATGCCTTTTGCAGTCTTTCAGGGAACCGAACAAGATTATTCAGGAAATAACAGAATAAATGGTTGGTCAGTTGATTTTATCACATGCCAACCTTTGTTGAGTTATTAAATGACGAATTTTGCAAGTGGCACTCATTGAGGACCGAACTTACTACTTAGAAGTAGTTCCCCACACTAGCCTCGTTACCAACGTCAACGAAATAGATTCATTCGCGCATGGCAACGTATGGTGGATGTGTGACATCCAAATTGCAACAATTTGGCGAAAAAAAAAGGCAATTTAAAGTTTTCTCGATGGAATATTACGCACCTTCTCTTTTCTACTTAGTCTTTACTACCTGGTCCGTGGCTTGAACCCACAATACAGTCAGTTATGTGTCATGCGTGATAAACGCTTAGGTGATCATGTATCTTTCGATACATGACGGACAAGGCAGATTCTCCCCGCAGTGTGTTTCTCTTTCTTTCTGCGGTAGACCAGTTGCCATCCAAGATTATTTACCCATAGCTAGAGGGAGAAGACGACTAATACCTTTCCCACGTAAGTGAATGTAATGGATTCGACTAGAATTCGAACTCGGCTCGCCGATTCCTCAATCTGAGCCGCTATCCATTACTCCACTTTTCCTTCCCACAATTATTGTCATCAAATTCGTGAACTATCAATTTAATCCACGAGAAAAAAAGACGAGATATCCCGAGACTTGGGAAGCGGAACGATCAACCACAGTAGAGTAAATAAGAGGTTTAGTTCTAAATTCGGCTAACGACAACGGAAGAAGGCGAAACAGCCGAAACGTTTTGATAATAACGAGTTAACGACATTCACCCTAATATAAATATCGTAAATAATAGAAACATCTGATCGTAGAAATTCAGAGATTTAAGTGGACGAAGCGACAAGGTTGGCTTTATTTTCGCTTTCTAATGGAAAAAGACAAGGACACAAAACTACAAAATCACCCTGAAGAAGGTACTGAAGGAAAATGAGATGAAACATCAAATGCAAGAAGAAATAATACATGGTTGGTAGTAAAATAGATGAAATACCAAAATTAAAAAATTATATCAAAAATTAAATATCTGGGAATTGTTTTAATAGAAGAACGGAAAGTGCGACACTGAGATCCGAAGACGTATTGGGATGAACAAAGGTGCCTTCCAAAAGCTAAGCAGAGTATTAAGAAACAGAAAAAACTGTGTTCGAAACAAAGGAAATAGTACTGAATATGTCCTTCCATATGGCAGTGAATGCTGAACAAAAATCTTTACTTGTGACGTGTTTCGTCCTTCAAGATTTCATCGCATGTTGAACGTTGAAGTCCTGAAACGCTTCACAAATAAACTTTTTCCACTTTTTCCTACAATTTCCCCAATACTGTTCTTGATATTTAAAAATATATATCGTTATCTCATATATAGCTTTCCCTGACGATTCGCTTAGGTGAAACCTGGGTAGGTTTGTCTGGCTCACTAGGTTTATCTAAATCTGCTCTACGGTTGTATTGAGCTCTTTTTAGTTAGTTGTTTACTCGTGTCGGGGGTTTTTCTTTGGGCTTTAAACCTGTATCTGTGCAATTTTTTTCGACAGACTTTCATGTTTTTTTCTTTCTTCTTTTAAACCCTTTTTTTCCTTCGAGATTGATTTGATTATTGGCAAATCAAAAATTCGAGTTTTTTTTGAACGAGTATAGTTATTTATATATATATATATATATATATATATATATATATATATATATATATGAGATAATGATATATATTTTTATATATCAAGAACAGTATTGGGGAAATTGTATGAAAAGTGGAAAAAGTTTATTGTTCATCATTATATATATATATATATATATATATATATATATATATATATATATATATATAAGTGAATGATGGGCAATCTCCTCACCGATGAAGAAGAGATCTGAAGCAACAGAAATATGATTCTACAGAAGGATGCTGAGCATACCATGGATAGAATAAGTGAGCAACGACGAAGTTTTTAGAGAGAATGGGAACAAAAAAGAAACTTATACATCAGAAAAAAACAGTTGAAATGTCTAGAGTACATAATGAGGAAAGAGGGCTTGGAGAATCTGGTACTCACAGTATAGACTGAAGGCAAGCTTCAATAAATGAATGGTGGTGCAAGTTCTAGGAGAAATAACAAAAAGACAAAATTTAAGGACAGGAAGTTGTGGAGAGCCATGATCGTCTACGTCCTGAAGCTTTACAGCAGATAGAAGAAAAAGAATGAGCTTGAGTAAATGGATGGTGGAACAAGGTTTAGGAGAAATAACAAAAAGACAAAATTTATTAAGAGCCACGAAGGACAGGAAGTTGTGGAGAGCCATGAGCGTCTACGTCCTGAAGCGATACAGCAGATAGAAGAAAAAGAATGAGCTTGAGTAAATGGATGGTGGAACAGGGTTTAGGAGAAATAACAAAAAGACAAAATTTATTAAGAGCCACGAAGGACAGGAAGTTGTGGAGAGCTATGATCGCTTGCGCCCTGGAGGGACATGACACATAAAAAAGATGAATGGACAAGCTTTAAATTCTAACAAATGCCATTTAAGAAATTAAGAATTCGTCACACCCGGGTTACCGTAATACGGTTATTACCGTATTACGGTAACCCAGGTGTGACGAATTCCGAGTAGATCAAATTGGGAGGATTTCGATTTTTAACCAGAGAAGTTAATTGGTCAATTTAGTCGTGAAGTGAATTCTGCTACGATGGTGAACGCTGATACTGCTCTTGGCAGCGGTTGATTAGCAAAATTTGTGGACAAGAATTTGGCGGCTAAGGAGTTTTAGATCGATCGTTAGATTAACAAATAAAGTGACAAAGAAAGGGAAGTGGTGACATTTACAGCGAATAGGCAGAAATGAAGAGAGAATTTAGACAGATTGATTTATGGATTTTAGAAGAACACACGGCTCATTTGAGGGGAGATCAATTTTACAGCGTGAAAAGTTTGAGTTAGATTAAAAAAACAAATCAGGTAGGAACCGATTGATACATATATATAGAGAGAGAGGAACAAAGAGTGACAGATGAACAAACTAGGATACATAGATATGAACATACTGAGATAGATAGATCGATAGATATTAACAGACTGAGATAGATAGATAGATAGATAGATAGATAGATAGATAGATAGATAGATATGAATAGAGACATATATGATACTGAACAGACCGAGATAGATAGATAGATAGATAGATAGATAGATAGATAGATAGATAGGGAATAGATAGATAGATAGATAGATAGAACAGAATGCGATAGATAGATAGATAGATAGATAGATAGATAGATAGATAGATAGAAGATAGATAGATAGATACTGAATAGAGACAGATAGATGAATAGACCGAGATAGATAGATAGATAGATAGATAGATAGATAGATAGATAGGAATAGAGACAGATATGATACTGATAGATAGACAGGGAAAGAGAGAGAAAAACCGGCTAACTAATGTACTAACGATAATTGCGGAAAGAGTCTATCGTGCTGTAGATAAAAACAGTTAAGCCCGGGCTGCAGCATTGGAAATCTCGAAAGCATTTGACAGTGTCTGGTATTCAGGTCTTCTCCAAAAATCAAAAGTTATGGTATCTCCAGGCACATTTTTGAGCTGATCCATTCGTTGCTATCAAATCGCTCTGTCTTGGTAGTACTTACTCCTTACCAATGGAATATGAAGTGAAAACGATGACTCGACTCGGTGTACGTAACAGGGTGGGTCCTAGTTGTGATGTCTGAACCAGTGGATACAAAATATCTAACATCTGTCTATATTTCTGAGATGACGTATTTACTATTTAAACTATTAACATTGTTCAGACTGTTGTCCTCATCTTTATTGTCATATTCACGACATTTCGGACGTTGTATGCTATGGCCTTCTTCAGGTGATATGCGTTGGAATTTCAAACCGAACCCTTTATCTCGTCCACTAGAATAGACTGTTCTAGTTCCACGTGCCGTGCCTTTTATGGGTATCTCAGGAAATAACTGAACCTGAGATATCCAGAAAAGGCACGGCACGTGGAACTAGAACAATCTAGACCAGTGGACAAAATAAAAGTTTTCGTTTCGAAATTCCAGCGTATATTGCCTGAAGAAGGCCAAGTGTACAACGGTTGAAACATCGTGTATTTGGCAATAAAGACGAGGACAACAGTTCGAACGATGTAAACAGTGTAAATAGGAAGCGTTAATTACCCTTACATAGCATTGATGATTTTATGTAGTCTGTAAAAGCATGAGAAAGATTATTTTCAAATGTCCATTAAAATAGATTTGCTATTTTCTGGTAAATCTATTCAAAACAGGAAGAAATAGAACAAAAAGCCATAAGCACGTATATTTAATAGGCAAGTATCGCTCAGCAATGTTACTTTGTATAGAGTTAACACATCATATGATGTACAACCAAAAGTAACTTGACAGTTACCTCCTACACCATCGTCCTGGGTATGACGATAAACTATAACCGGCAGCAAGGCCTGTGATGGGGCAGTTGAGTTTTTAAAGGGAATTAATTGATGTTGAGATATTCAAAAAAGAGGATGGTACATGGGATTAGAACATAGACTAAATGAAGGGTTTTGGTTCGAAATACCATCGCATATCACCTGAAGAAGGCCGGTGCGTGCAACCAAAACATCTAGTTCGCAGGAACATATCAAATTAAAATAGCAATTTAGGAGCGAGAAAATTGCAACGTTTCAACTGTAGGAAAGAGGTCGAAGGGCGAAGAACAATTTATCACCCACAAGGCCAAGCATAAAGCTTCAAACCTTGGTCGAAAATGAGAATGAGGCAGTTCCGACCGAGATCCGGTAGCAATATTCTATTTTTGGTCTCTAGTGGGGATAAAGCAATTCAGGAGGAGTCCAGTAGTTCCTGGAACGATCGGAGAGCCGATCATTTTTCCAGCCTCTATAGACTGACTGCATGCTTTCAAATTTGTATTTTACAAACAAAATCATATTTGCCATTTAAATAATGAAAATATAAATCCGAAAATACAAGTAAAGATTGATTTACTAAGCGTAGCTTAGATGTGGCATTAGGTCGAGATTAAGGGGACCCCCATGAGGACTGAACTCACTTTAGTTATGTGACATGCGTGATACACGCTTAAGCGATCATGTATCTTTCGATATATAACTGACGAGAGATTTTTTCCCGCAGTAGGTTGCCATTTCTAGGTTGGTCATTCCACTAGATTTTGTCAAAGAACTGGTACTTCTCCCCGTATTCCTTTGACAAGAAGATTATTCCACTAGCTTCTTATCAAGAACCGGTACTTTGTGCAAATATTTGTATGCTTCTCAGTAGAAATTAACCGCTTCAATTATAATGTCAAAAGTTATCTCTCCGCCATATAATCATAATCTTCATTTCCTTTTTCTTACTCTTCTGTTCATAGCACCCACCTTCTTCAGGAAGAATGGTCAGAATATATTGCAAAAGCAGCCGTCAGTTTAAACTGACCCCAGGGGGTAATGGATAAAGAATAATTTCGACATTAAGTGAACGAACAGGAGTTCATATGTTGTAAAATCCATCAACCCAAACCAGAAATGGCGACCAATGTAACAGACTGACACACACACACACACACACGCACACACACACACACACACACACACACATATATATATATATATATATATATATATATATATATATATATATATATACATACATACATACAGAGAGAGAAAGAGAGAGGTAAAGAAATATAGTTTTAATGTGTGCTATATTTATGGGATAAAGTGCTCAATATCAAAGATAGAGCGTGTGTAAACATAAATATAAAGTGAACATTGAAGTCAACACTCAGAGGCGACAGTCTGTTTCAAGCTAGACGCAATCGATTGCGTCTAGCATGAAACAGCCAGTCGCCTCTGAGTGTTGACTTCAATGTTCACTTTTATTATATATATATATATATATATATATATATATATATATATATATATATATATAATATAGCTATTTTGTTTCAACACTTCCGGTGACTTCTCAAGTGATATATATATTTTAAAATCAAAAGTAATAATTTGTGCCTGATGAGTTGGTAAAACAACGAAACTTTAAGTTCCTCTCCGAACGTAGGTATATGTATATTTATTAATATTTACTTCTTAGCTCTGTCTGACCACACTGAGCACTGGTTTGTTTACACCTTATTAAATTGAGTAAATATTTATTCGCTTACCAGTGTATGCACGCTAACTTACGTATATAGGGTTGCTAATATCTAGTTATTTGATTTATCCACATGAATACCTATATATATATATATATATATATATATATATATATATAAGATTTTTAACTACCATTCCTCTAAATTTGACAGATTCTGAAATGCACTCATCAAAAGACAAAAGCATATTTTTAATTTTTAATTTAACTTTGTAAATTAGATTTTTGTCATATTTTCATATATCAGAAATATATGATATATGAAAATAAACGAAACATAATTTTGTGTATTGATGAAGATTTCAGAATTTGCAAGTAGAAATAAATGAACATTTTATTTATTCATTTATCGATTATTATTATTATTATTATTATTATTATTATTATTTCCTTGGATTTCTGCTGTAAACATATTTACTTCCGGGTTCCAACCAGAGACCTAAGGTCAAAAATGGTTTCATGACATTTTCTACTGAGCATTTATCTAAAAAGAAAAATCCCTACAAATTTTATATAGATAAAGCTGTCCGTAATGTGTGAGGTCTACTTGTGAGTATTTTTTGTATTCCTTTAAGACACAGGCTACTCTGAATCCATTCACTGAGTTTAATGAAATCTTTTCCAATCAAACCGAAGGCTCCAACTACAACTAAAATTATTGATGTCCTCATGTGCCATAATTTTTAGATTTCCACTTCAAGATCCTTGCATTTTGATAGTTTTATTATTATTATTATTATTTGTATTAGTATTAGTAATTTATTAATATTAATTTTATTATTTATTATTATTATTGATAGTAGTAGTAGGAGTAGGATTTGTACTTTTCTTTTACGAAATATTCTTCACTTTCTCTCTCCCCCCACCCATATATATATATATATATATATATATATATATGTTATGGTCCGGTTCCTTGTACCACGTTGATAGTCCAAGGTAGAACCAATAAAGAAGAACTCGAAGACGGATATGGAATAACACATATATATTACAAACAGGAATATATACAAAGAGTTAGAAAAGTCTTAGTACGAACAATCAGGTTTAGTAGTAATTGTCTGAACGCGACTCTGTTCCGGGGTGCCTCTGACTCGACTGACTGACTCCTGACGGAACTCACTTCATACTTCAGACTGAACTCTCAGACTTCAGACGGAACTCTCTGCTTCCTCTTGAGGCGCAGTATTTATTACGTATGGAATAGTCCATTATGTTATTATGGGTAAGGTCCCATAACAATATATATATATATATATATATATATATATATATATCATTATTATTATTATTACTTAAATATTCTGGGAGACGATCCAGAAGAATTTTGGTGAAAATCTTGCAGACAATGCAGAACAAGGACATATCGCGTTAGTTGTTGCACACTGACCGGTAATTATGTTTGCGTTTTTGAAGTCATCCGGGAAGTTCTTGGTGTCTCGAATTCGCAGTATCAGTTAAAACAGCTTTGTTCTCATGAAGAGCACCAGGGGGATGTTCTCTGGTCCTTGGGGGTGGGGGTCTTCTAGGTTTCATATGTTGGATTTAATATATTACTGGATTCTCGGTATCACGGTGCGGTTTTCGGCGGTCACGTGGAACGATTGACATGATGTTTCAGCGCAATGCAATTCCAGAAAAAAAGGCCCAAGAACAACATCAACAACTTGGGGGGGGGGCTTCGAAAAGCCTTCGACAAGATTTCTCCGGCAAGCATGTAGTCTGTCGTTTTGATTGCTCCGATGATTTTGTCGGCCTCATCACTGCGCTCCATGGCGGTATGACAGGACGCGTCCGCACGCAGAATGAACTCCCCCGAACAATTCCCCACCTGCGGAGGCCGTAAACAAGGCCGCGCGCTGGCTCCAACCCTGTTCTCCTCCACCGACCCGGTGGTAATGATAGATGAGATCCCACGCGACTCTCCTGGCGTTGACATCCGCTATCTCCTGGACGGCGGATTCTTTAATTGCGCGCGTCTGAGATCCAAAACGCGAATAGCGTAAAGCAGTATCAAAGAGTTCAAGAACCCAGACGAAAATCCACCCCTACATCCTGCGTTGCCGAGCTCCATCTCTGTTTGACTCTCGTCTTCGAAGCTTACTATCGCTTTTAGATAGACGTCAATGCGGACAAAACCAAGATACTTGCTCAGTCTGTTCCGGGACATGAAACACTATAAATTACTATTAACTTGCCTTTGGATCTTATCTCGGCAGCACTCTCTCACAATGCGGAACATGCGAAACAGACATCGATCAATGCACCAGATCCGCTCATTGCGCCTTCGGAAGATTCAGCAACCATGGACTCTCCCTCTGTTATAGTGGAACACACCTATTCTATAGTTAATAGACTCTCCCATCTATAATAAGCAGGAGTAGTAGGAGTCGCTGAGGGAGTTGGTCAGTCAGTCGACTGGCTGATCTGTTGAACTCTCTGCCTTCGGGCCGGGAGGAACCCGAAGGAGGCTACGCCGAAGGGCGGATTCTCTTTCGGGGAGGTAAACCGACCCTGAACCCGTTTATACGGGTTCAATGGGCATATTTTTGGCCGAGACCAGGGGCTCGGAAATCCCACGTTAAAAAGGCCTTGTGCCACATGACGCCCTCGTGGGAGGGTGACTGAATATCGTTCAGTCTGAAGTCTGGTGTGAGGTCCGTCAGGAGTCTGTCAGTCAGTCAGAGCGAGCGAGTCAGTCAGTCAGTCGAGTCAGAGGCAGTCCGAAACAGAGTCGCGTTCAGACAATTACTACTAAACCTGATTGTTCGTACTAACACTTTCTACCTTGTGCCACATGATGCCCTCGTGGGGGAATGACTAATTATCGTTGGTCAGTCAGTCGATGTTGGTCGACCGGCTGATCGGTTGAACTCCCTGCCTTCGGGCGGGGAGGAACCCGAAAGAGGCTACGCCGTAGGGCGGAGTCTCTTTCGTTGAGGTAAACCGACCCTGAACCCGTTTTAGTCAGTCGATGTCGGACGACCGTTAGTCGTATATTATAGTATCAGCGACCACCACTAGATTTCTCTGCGTCATTACCTATTATATCAAGTTCCTAACGTTTTGTACGTCGAACCTATTTTAGGACCGACTTAGTACAAATACAAGCCTCCACTGTGAAACCACTCTACAACACCCTCCGAACAAAACTCATGGGGTTCCGCGCTGTTGTCATCTACACCTTGTTCTATGCTTGTGAGACAGGGACCCTGTATCGAAAGGTCTTGTATCGAAAGCTTGAACAAGCCAAGCATTAAATTGCTGGACTGACGTACCAACGACGAAGTCCTCAATCGATCAGAAATGCCGAGCATTGAAGCCGCCATCCTTAAGCATTGCCTCAGGTGGTCAGGACATGTCAACTGAATGACCCCTTCAAGACTCCCGCGGATCATCCTTTACAGCGAGCTCGTCAACCGCGAAGAACATTGCCTAACCCCAAAACGCAGATTCTTTGACCAATTGAAGTCTTCCCTCTTTCAAGCCGGAATCAACACTAGCACCTGGAAGACAGAAACAGCCGACCGACCATGTTGGCGAAGAGCAATCCATTTCGGTTCTTCCACATTCGAGGAGAAGAGAAAGACAGGAGGGGAAGTAAAAAGAAACAGCTCGGTAGCTCCAACCAAGACCATCAACCATTCTACCATGCGAACAATATCCGAGACTGTTCCATTCCCGAATTGGCCTCTTGGACCATGTCTGGTTCAAGAATTGTGGAGGCGCTGGATGAACAAAACTCGAACACGATGGATGCCGACGACGACATAAACGTTATTTTTAGTGGATATCGATATACACCCTCAGTTCATTTATTAAACAGTATATTATATTTACTTTAGGGAGACGCAGGTTCGAATCCTGCCGGAGAGCGCATATTTTTCTTTAAAAAGTTTTCTTGAATAACCAGACCGGTATGCAGAAATAAATTAATATAGTGGTATATAAGTATCCATAAAAAATAAATAATAAAATCTGTCGGATAAATAAATACAAATCTATCACTTCTTCATATATTATATATAAAGTACAATGTATGTGTGTGTGTTTGTGCGTGTGTCCAAGTAACCCCTCCGCTCCCACTGGTCCGATTTCAATGATTCAAAAGCCCCAGAAAAGTTAGGCACAAGGAACGATTTTCGTTTAACTCAGACTCAGGGTTGCCAGATTATGCGAGGTTAAAATATATATTAATACATTATACTAGCCATTATCGTTGCCTTCATGGTTCAAAGGAGAGGAACTCCTCCTTTTCCTTTTGTATCCAAAATTGCAGTGTCTGTTTTATTATAAATTAGCTTAAAAGCTACCTCCTGTAGAGGACTCTTGGTTTGGCCATCATCACAATAGTTAAAGAGGAGTAGATGCAATAGGCATCAATAAACTACAGAAGAACTCATAATTGATCGCTGTATTTAAATATTGAATTAATGTTTAAGCTTACCTTTTGAAAGTTCAACGATAATTCTTCTGCTGCCACTTAATTTAAGGACGATTTAATGTAAGCAGATCCTTATTTTCCGTACAAACAATTATTTTTAGTTCATTGGTGACAGAACAGGGAATAATTTATAAGATAAAATTAATATAGTGTAAAGATGGGGAAATAGAAATTAGAATTAGTTATACATTCAAAATTTGAAGAGTTAGAGAAACATAATAGCTAATTAAGTATAAACCTATATTACGAAATCTGTATGAATAAATGTGAAATTGGAACACAATTATCCAACGAATTCTGGAGTTAAAAAGCCCCAACTCTACTTTATAGTAAATTGTATTTACTCAAAGCCTCAGGAGGTCAGGTTGTGACACAAGGTCGGTTTAATGTGGGGAGCCCGAGCGCGTACACCCGGGCTAGGAACAAAAATTGCCCGAAACCCTGCAACCGTCGGTTGCGTTAGCCTTGGTGCGAGCACCGATCCCTCTCTCTAGTGTAATGAGTGGGTGTGGCCACGGGCAACTGTTCCCCAGGGCCGGCACATCTCAGTATAATTTTCCTCAGATGCGACTCTGTCCTTCGACGGAGCCGCTCCTGAACGCACTCTGCCCAAAGACAGACGCAACTGAGAGACGATAAATAAACGTGTTACAAACTACTCGGGAGTAATTTTTATTTACTCTACCCTCCACCCACGATGTCAGGTTGTGAAACAAGGTCGGTTTAATGTAAGGAGCCCGAGCGCGTACACCCAGGCTAGGAACAAAAATTACAAAGAATGTAAATAAAATACGGAATTACTTTTATAATCACTATAGGCGCGTGTGTGTGCGTGCGTGTGTGTGTGTGTGTGTGTGTGTGTGCGCGCGCGCTCGTTTGTATGCATATATGTGTATGTATGTATGCGTGTATTTGGGCAGCAATCTTTCTTTTATACAAATTTTGTTAAAAACAACACTTGCCTTGTTGGCTGCCGAAACTTATATAAAAGTGGGATTTTTTATCAGAATATTGTATATATATACCTACATTCACACATTTTGTATGATGTATAGGTTTCCGGGGTGTGTGCGTGTGTGTGTGTAGCCCGACTGGTGTGTTCAGCCGTTATATGTGTATGATGTGTGTTTATACGTGTTTTTTACTAACATTTTTATAATGTTCTTATAAAATAGCATTGTGGCTTAGTAGGAATTATTGTCATGAAATATACAATCCAAAGAAAAGAATCTAGTAAATCCAAAGGGTAGCCCCAAATAAATTTTTACTCTCTCTCTCTCTCTCTCTCTCTATATATATATATATATATATATATATATATATATATATATATATATATATACACTCACTCCCTAAGAACAAAATAACACACACACAAACACTTAACAGAGACACATCCCCTTTCCAGGAACAATAAAACTGTAAAACTGACCAGGGGAATTCAGAGAAACATAGATCCATCCAGCTCTTATCTCAAATAACAACTTAAAAGAGACTGTTTGACCAACACAAGGATTGTTAAAAGATTCATGTTAAAAAGATAAAAAAATAAAAAAACAAATGAAAACTACAGACAAAAGTTCATTTCTCCAACAAAAGACATTCATTTCTGTAGTTTACTGCTGCCAGCAAGCAGAAATATTTCTTCTCCCGATGATGGCCATTTTGGCCGAAACTAGTCGAGGAATCTAAATGAAATAATAATAATAAAAACGAAAGAATATTAATCTACAACCCAGTGTGTCTGAAGATTTTAATTTTTTAATATTTTTTATTGTTCAATATATATATATATAATTATAAGTGATGATGTTGAGTGTAAAATAAATGTTTTTGTTCCCATTTATTTTATACTCAACATCATCACTTGATAAGACACCGAGGGTGTTGAAACGAAATGGCTATTTTTGTAGTGATTTTATAACATATTTATGTTATAATTTTTTTTTAAAATAAATAATTATATCTGCTCTACTTTGTATTGAGCACTCTTTTAAGAATAGTAATTGTTGGTTTCATTCCATATACACCAATCATATACTTGGGTATATATATATATATATATATATATATATATATATATATATATATAAATATATATAGTCCGTTGAAAGAAATTTGAGAGATAAAAAAACAACAAAAATAATAATGACAATAAAACTAATGATATTTATTATAGCGATTTTCCAAGCGTAGCTTAGATGTGGCACAAGGCCGAATGTATGAGGCACCCAGTGAGGATCTAGTACTACGAGACCAGCTTGCTAACCATCACGCCGCATCTAGGTGCCCAATAATATTTATTATATACTAGTAGGCTTTTTTACCAAAAACAATCATGATGAGAAAGATGTTAAAAATCGGAATTTTCGGACACACCTGTGTCCTTTCTCAACGAGACGGAGGCAAGGACGAAATTTGTTGGGGATGAGAACGAAATATATTTCCGCATTATTTACATTATTCTGACTATTGTCCTCATCTTTGTCGCCATA